TTTGGCGGGTCCGGGCTGGGGATTCGAACCCGCCACCTTAGGTGTACGTGGCTGGCGCCTTAGCCGGTTGAGCTATAGGCGCCGAGCCAGAGCCAGAAACTTTTAAGTACATTATTTTATTAATCCACTAAATGATCCTATGAAGTAACATTATCTCCACTTTACAGATGAAGAGGCACTCAGAGAGCTGGGGTCACACAGCTGGTGAAGGGGAGAACTGGGTTTACATCAGAGGCTGTGAAGAAGGGATCCCTCCAGTCTCATTACTCTTGGTCAGTATAAGGGACAGGCAATCTGGCCTCAGGGGCCAAAAAGGAAACAGACAAACTCTGCAGGCATGGAGGATCAGGGAAGCACCACTCTGCCAAGCTCTATCAATGTGGGAAGTTAATCAAGATGAACCCCTTCCAAGCTCAGAGACAGTGTATCAACATCATTTAAGACCATGGACTTAGGGCCAGGTTCTCCAAATTTCAAGTCTACCTCAACTCCATGGGCCTTCACCAAGGTCCTTAAACTTCTTTGTACTTTAGTTTCCTCATCTGTAAAATAGGGACAACAGTACCCACTTCATAGGGTGGTTGTGAAAACTAAGTATATTCATACATGTGAGGACTTAGCATGGAATACAGTAAGATCTCAATAAATGTTGATTATTTCAAGCCATTTGTGCTACAAAAAGACCAGCATAAGCAGGTAACACTAGAAGGGATCAAACAGCCACTCACTTCACCTCATTTACTTGACAGCTAGGAACATTTCACAACACATTTCAATCTCTTGAAAGACTAAGCTTTCCTAGTCACTACCTATCAGAACCTGTACCTTTATGATAGTACTTTATGTTAATTGTCAAATTACTAGTCTAGATCTTAGCATTTAGGCTAAACCTTGTTGGATTTTTTTTTTAAGACAGTCTATGTTGCCCTTGGTAGAGTGCCACGGTGTTACAGTGCACAGCAACCTCAAACTCTTGGGCTTAAGCTACTCTCTTGCCTCAGCCTCCCAAGTACCTGGGAATACAGGCACCTGCCACAAGGCCTGGCTATTTTTTTTGTTGTTGTTGTAGTTGTTGTTGTTTGGCAGGCCCTGGCTGGGTTCAAACCTGCCAGACCTAGTGTATATGGCTGGCGTCCCAGCCACTGAGCTACAGGCGCCCAGCCTCTTGTTGAACTTTTATTCTCAGCACACTATATGATACAGAAAAAGAGCTAAATACACTATTATTGAATGAATAAAAGATTGAATAAATGAAAGACTGAATACAGCCAACTACCCCTTGAGGACAGGAATGCTTAGCACACAGTGGCTCTGGAGGGAGACATTCCTGTCAGAGCATATACCTGTACATCCAATCCATAAAACATTTGAGTTGCCATTTGAACAGCAGTACCTAGAACAAGGCACCACTGTCAATTCTGATTCCACCCCTTGGTGCCATTAGTAGATTCAGGAATTCTAAGTACTTAATACTTACCAGACAAAAAATATACCTGTCCAGTAGCAATGGATGACTTTTTGTCAAGGGTAGGAACTTCCCCTGCCAGGAGGCCCCATCAACATGTCAACTTTGAAATTACCTTCCCCTCTTATGTTAAAAAGGCAATGATTTCTTTTTGCCTACAGTCTCCTACAACTCAAGCAGCCTTTTTGTTTTCTTTAACTGCACATGGCCAGACAAAAAGCTGCCAGCAAGCACTGCTAAAGAGTATTAAATGGTTTTAACATCACTGCTGAAAGATAGCCAGTTGTTTTTATTTTCCCTCTTCCCTACAGGCAACTGTTTTAATTAAGAATAAACAGTTGGCTCAGCGCCTGTGGCTCAAGTGGCTAAGGTGCCAGCCACATACACCTAAGGTGTGGGTTCAAATCCAGCCCGGGCCGCCAAAACAACGATG